AAAAAAAAAAAAATGCAGACAGCCTTTTCCAGGGTTTGAGTTAGAACTGTATCTCTGAAATTTCTTAACAGTACACAGAGCACTCTGCAGGCAATATTGGAGTGACTGAGTCATCTGCACATCACCTCAGTATTCATTTTACCAGCTCATAAAGGCCTTCTCTAATGTCTGTCCCAGGCATTTCAAAGACTACTTCTAATCTGGTAGGTATTCCAGAAGTCTGAATAGGATCTTAATGTCAGTTGACCACTCCCTGTAATTCCACACATATCTGAATGACTACCATCAGCCACAGGACAGAAACCTCTCCCCTCATACAACTTACATTCAAGTGAGAGATAGGCAGTAAGATGTTTTTTTAAAAATAGAATATCCGGCTGGGTGCGGTGGCTCACACCTGTAATCTCAGCACTTTGGGAGGCCAAGATGGGTGGATCACCTGAGGTCAGGAGTTCGAGACCAGCCTGGCCAACTGTCTCTACCAAAAATACAAAAAAATTATCCAGGTGTGGTGGCAGGCGCCTCTAATCCCAGCTACTCAGGAGACTGAGGCAGGAGAATGGCTTGAACCTGGGAGGCAGAGGTTGCAGTGAGTCAAGATCACTCCACTGTATTCCAGCCTGGGCAACAAGAGTAAAACTTCCTATTAAAAAAAAAAAAAAAAAAATACAGTGAAACCCAGCAGCAGCATTTCCTTCAGTCCCTCTCAGCCACAGAGGCACAGACCGGGGACAGTGGAAGGCTGCAGTTAACCTGGCTTGTTTTGAAGCAAGGAAAGGCAGGGTGTCGGTGTCAACCGTACATGAAGATGGTGATAAAATGACTGCCTGTGAGATTTATGCTGGGTAAGGAGGGTGAGACAGTATTTAGTTCAGAAAAGACTAATGGAAACTGACCCAATAAGACAACACAGTATGCTGTCAATTAGTAATGGGAAAAGAATGTATAAACATGTCAGCACTTTTTGTTTTAGTTTTATAACACCTTATTTATGCAAACATTCAAGCACATACTATGTGCTAGAGATACAAAGATGAGGAAGAAAGTCCTTACCCAGAACTCAAAGTCTCACGCGGGAGAGACACATAAACACAGTTGTGATGCCGTGTGGGAAGAAAAATAATAGAAGCATGAGTGTGCATAGGAAATCACAAAGGAGAAATTCTTCAAGAGGAGCAGAGGTCAAAGAAAAATTCCCAAAGGAAGGGAAATCTGAGCTTACACTTAAAAGATGAGGCATGAACCAAGGGAAAGGTGTGAAGAAAGGGCATCCAAGGCAGATGGGACAGGCCAGAGCAGGATGTGTGTCCAGGAACTTCATGCACTGCAATCTTGCTGAGAAAAAGTGAGGCTGAAGAGTCAGACAGGATGAGATAACAAAGCCTTACTAAGACAGCTGGGATTTAGCCTGCAGGCAGGCAGTGGGAAGCCAAAGAAGCGTTCAAGCACAGGTCATGCCATCGATTTTGCATTTTAGATGGGCCACTCTAACAGCTATTGAGAAAGTAGGTTTAAAAAGACAAACAGAGGCAGATAGGCCAGGTGAAAGAGTGATGTGGTCATGCAGGCAGGTGACAGATGATGAGAGCTCAAGCCAGGCAGTGGGAGGGGACAGAGAGAGATAGATCCAGGAAACAGTTAAAAGACAAAATCAGTGGGACTCCAAGGGGTAGGGGAGGTAGAAGGGGAGTCAAGAAGTTGGGGGGGCAGTGACTACTTGGAAGGCGATGCCAACTCAGAATAAAGGAGGAAGAACGAGTTTAGAAAGAGAAGAGTTTGGGTTTAAACAGATACCATTTGAGGTGCTGGGAAATAGCCAGGGACAGATATCCAGCTTTCAGTTAAACACACAAGCCAAAAGTTCAGCTGAGATTTGCACTCGAATTACAGAAAAGTTGAAGATAGGATCTTCTTGAGCATTATATTTCAAGACAGTGGTCCACAGGCTTGGCTGGGCATCAAATCACATGGGAAGCTTTTAAAGTTCAGATTCCCTGACCCCATCCCAATTTACAGAATCCTCCTATCTTCAAGATGGGGTGTTTTTATTCTATGGATACAGCAGTTCCCTGTTATCTGCAAGGGATATGTTCCAAGACCCCCAGTGGATGCCTGAAACCACAGATAGTAACAAACCCTGTATATAAGATGTTTTTCCGATATGTATACACCTATGGTAAAGTTTAATTTCTACATTAGGCACAGTAAGAGATAAACAATAAATAATGAAGCAGGATAATTATAACAATATACCATAATAAAAGTTATGGGTAGATCACAAGGTCAGGAGTTCAAGACCAGCCTGGCCAAGACAGTGAAATCCCATCTCTACTAAAAACACAAAATAAAATTAGCCTGGCATGGTGGCAGGTGCCTGTAATGCCAGCTACTCAAGAGGCTAAGGCAGGAGAATTGCTTGAACCGGGGTAGGGGGTGGGAGGGAGCGGGCGGAGGTTGAAGTGAGCCGAGATCGCATCACTGCACTCTAGCCTGGGTGACAGAGTGAGACTCCGTCTCAAAAACAACAACAAAAGGTATGTGAATGTGGTCTCTCTCTCTCTCTCTCTCTCTCTCTCTCTCTCAAAATATCATACTCTAGTCACGTGTTTTCAGACCAAGGCTGACAGTGGGTAACTGAAGCCGGGGAAAGTGATCACAGATGAGGGGGGACTACTATAGTTCCAAGTAGCATTAAGGCCAGGGAGATTTTCAAACTAAGAACCAGGGTTTGAGAGTCAGATTGGATTCAAATTCTAAGCACAATCCATTAGCTTTGTGACCTCAGGCAAGTTACTTACCCTCCAAGCAGCCTTCCTTTCACCAATGGAAGGGCGCTATAAGTAGGTAAGGCCTACTTACCATGCAGGGTCACTGTGAGAATGAAAGGGTGTAATGCACAGTCAGAACACAGGAACTGCTCAGGAATTAGCAGCTGGTTTACCAGGAAAGTCTCATCACCCTATATAAATATCTACATAGCACTGCTTTTGTGTGTGTGTGTGTGTGTTCTTTCTTTACCTCTACCCACTAAACTCAGAACGTAAGCTTCCAGGGACACCTGCCAGCCTGTTTACTGCTCCAACCAGTGGACCGCCAGGCTTGTGGTGGGTTCTCCCCAAATTCAGGAATAAATGACTACGGTTACAAAAAGGGAAGCTACTTTTAAAAGAATAATAATTAATCTCTTCTTGATATTTCAAAATCACTACCTGTTTTAGTACTCACTGATTCTATTTTGAAGAGATTAACATCTTGTTACCCTCAGGCTCCAAAAGCAAAACTTCTCCAGCCTAATACTTTGTAGCGACTACAGATAGTGAGTATGAAAATCATACAGTAGCAGAGAAATGCTTATGACATAATGTGAAAACATCATTTGTATAGGTGTGTGTATACAGATACACAACACACACACACACATCCACAGACATATATATTCACATATATATAATCATAATTACAACGATGATTAAAAATACAGATGGAGAGAGACAAAACACACCAAAATACTAATGGTAACTATGTTGCAGAGTCATGAATAATTCAAATCACTGGTGAGTTTTTTTCCCTTTTCTTTAAGCTTATTTTTGTAATAGAGTTACATCAGTTTTATAACAAAAATATTTTCATAATTTTAAAAATTATTTCTCTGTCTCTGCTGCTTGAATCAGAATAAATTTCCGTGATTTTCAAAAAGCCTTCAATCTAGTTTGTTCATCTCTTATTCCAGAGTTATTTGAGTAAATACTGAGTGGTAGGTGTTGTCCAAGGGCCAAGGCCACACAATGAAACATGGTCCCTTTCCTCAGGAGCCTTGGCCTGCCAGGAGAGATAGACACATGAAACACCTGCCTGCAATAAAATGTGACAGAGCTGTGATAGAGGCGGGGGTATTCCAAGCACTATGGGGAAAAGAAGGCAGAAATTAACCCTTTGCAGTAGGGCAGGAAAGGACTCCACAAGGCCACAGTGTAGCCTGGCCATGAAGCATGCTTTGCTTCATGGTGGTATCTGAAATACCGTATTCTGACTTTCCCAACCTCAGAGATCCAGATTGCTAGATCAGAAAAAGCAGTACTCAGAAAGTAATCAACACTCGTGGAGCATTTCCTTTGTGTCACTCAATGAGCCAGCAGATGTTATACACACATCTCATTGGTTCCTCACTGTGGAGTAAATATTACTATTATGCACAGTGTACAGATGGGGTAATCAATATTTAGAGGTTAAGCAACTTGCCCAAGGTCACAAAACTAGTAAGAATGAAAAGAAAAGTCAAAACCAAGTATAACTAAGCCTATGCACTTTGCTACACTAACATGTCTATACACCAGCCAATAGTTTTTGCATGAAGCCCTGGTTGTCAGGAGGAAACAGAAGACACTTCATTTCCCCTTATGCAACTCTTCTCATATCAGCAGAGAGAGAAGTTGGAATTACAGAAAAAAAATAAAATAGGCCAGGCGCAGTGGCTCACTCCTGTAATCTCAGCACTTTGGGAGGCCAAGGTGGGCAGATCACCTGAGGTCAGGAGTTCAAGACCAGCCTGGCCAACATGGTAAAACCCTGTCTCTACCAAAATAAAAAATTAGCCAGGCATGGTGGCACGCGCCTGTAGTCCCAGCTACTCAGGAAGTTGAGTCAGGAGAATCGCTTGAACCCAGGAGGTAGAGGCTGCAGTGAGCCGAGATCGTGCCACTGCACTACAGCCTGGGCAACAGAGTGAGACTCCATCTCAAAAAATAAATAAATAGATAAAATAAAATAACTAACTGTGTCTAACAAGCCTGGTTTTGAGTCCCAGATCTCCAGGGATCAGGACTTCAGAAAGTAATCTCCCAGAATTCCAGCTTTGTTTGAAAAATGAAAATTAAAAATAATACCTAACATACACGGGGATGTTATAAGGCTCACCTGAAAAGAATAAAAGGCAGTGTACCAGCCAGGGCTTCACTGATGACTTAAGTGCTGTGGTCGAAGAAGACGGACATCTCCGTCAATTTATACAGACTTTTAACCACCACCCCTGCCCATGCTCCCTATCGAGTTTTGGAAAGTAACAGCTAAGCAGAAAAAGGAATAGTGAAAAAGAATTGGGTTTCTGGAAAACAGGCAAAACAAAAGAGGGGCTTCAGCTGGTCCTCAAATATCTGTAGACAATGTGATGGGTTTAGAATACTCTAGAATCCTGGATCCTTCCTACCCGAGTGTGGTCTGAGAACCAGCAGTGTCGGCATCACTACTGACATTTCTACTGCTTGTTAGAAATGCAGGTTCCCAGGCCCTAGTCCAGCCCTGCCAAATCAGAATCTGCATTTTAACAAGAGCACCAGGTGACAATATGGAAGTGATAAATATCATACATGGAATCTTGAAAGCTGGTCTATCCTTATGATTAGATAGCTTGAACTATATATGTCAGAAGTTACAGAAATGAGTCAATAGTCAATAATAAAAATAACAATGAAGCCTAAAAATGCTCCAGCTCCAGGCCTCAATTAATGTCTGTATACCAAATTTTAAAATGACAAGCCTTGATATCAAGTCAGAACTGTATGCTATTCATACAATTTTAAAAATAAGAAGTCAGTACAAACTATAGTGGGGGCTAAACCTCCCTACAAGAGAAAGTTCCCTCAGCAATGAAGAAAAGATTATCAGCTCTATCTCCCTCACAGGGTTAAATCTGATAGTCTGTGGGAAAGAAAGCCCCTTAACGTGAAAAAACTCCATGCATGGGTAAGATTATTCTCCTGGAATCAACTCACTTTAAGACCGTACTATTGGCATCACAGAATTGAGGGGAGCAGAGCAATCTCCCATGGGAAGTATAAATAACACTGTGTGTTAGAGACAGAAATTAAAGAGAGAAATTAGACAGAGAGCGAAATTAGCCTGTTAGCCTCACTGGAGTTAAGAGCCCCAGCAGTTGGCCCACAACTCATAAGTATAAGCAAAAGATAATAACCCAGTAAGGGGAAAACCCACAATGGGTTTTGTGCTAAGAAAACAGCAAATGCACCTCTCAGTGAGTTCTACTCACTAAGGAGTCAATGCATGACACTCACCCAGCAAGGCAGCCACTATGCCCACCAGCCCCGTGCCAGCACCCAGCTCCACGGCAGAGCGGCCCCTGAGCTCCACAGCTCCCATCTCCAGATACGTGGAAAGAACGATGGCCTGAGTGAAAACACAGCGTGATGACGATTAAGGTCAACATGTGCTTGAGTAGCTGCAGGGTTTCAGGTCAGCTACACACACACCTCTCCCACTTCGAGGTTCAATTCCCAATTTAACACACACAGGAACTTAGCTGGTGAAGCAAGGTAACCTCCCCCTTAGAGCAAGCACAGGGTCCCACAGCAATGCCCAGAGACGATGCCCACACTAAATGGGGTCCTGCTGGATCTGGAAGCTTAATTTTATTTTATTTATTTATTTTTTTTTTTTTTTTTGAGATGAGAGTCTCAGTCCGTCTGTCACCCAGGCTGGAGTGCAGTGGCACAATTTCGGCTCACTTCAACCTCCGCCTCCCAAGCTCAAGTGATTCTCCTACCTCGGCGCCCCCCAGTAACTGGGACCACAGTCATGTACCACCACACTCAGCTATTTTTTGTAGTTTTTTTGGTAGAGATGGGGTTTCGCCATATTGGCCAGGCTGGTCTTGAACTCCTGAGCTCAAGTGATCCACCTGCCTCAGCTTCCCCAAGTGCTAGGATTACAGGCGTGAGCTACCACACCCAGCCTGGAAAACTTAACTTTTTACTGTATCACGGCACTTTTACACTTGAAGTTTACACAACTATTCTGCAAGAACTGACGTGAACAATTTCTATGATTTTGTTTAAGGGAACACCCAGTTCCTAAACCAAACTCAAGTCAGCAAAGCCACAACTTCACCCATAGGGAAAAAGCAACACATTGCCCAAGGCTGGAGCTGTGTCACTGACGGTCATCACCCCACAGGGGCCCTCACCATACATTTTGGGCATCAGAAGGTAAGTTCTGGCCAAAGTTTTGGATACTTGATGTGTGGTTTAGCATTTGCTTATGACCCTACAGAAAGAAGTATATACAGTTAACATAACTTTTACTATAATTTATTTCTCACAGCCACATATTGTGAGTATAATTGGCAATTCCTCATGGTATTTAGGAGACTTCCCATCATTATTATTATTTTTTTTTTTTTGAGATGTACGCTCACTCTGTCACCCAGGATGTAGTGCAGTGGTGCAATCCCAGCTCCCTGCAACCTCCGCTTCCCAGATTCAAGCGATTCTCCTGCCTCAGCCTTCCGAGTAGCTAGGACTACAGGTGTCAGCCACCACAGCTAATTTTTGCATTTTCAGTAGAGATGGGGTTTCACCATGTTGGCTAGGCTGGTTTCGAACTCCTGACTTCAAGTGATCCACCTACCTCATCCTCCCAAAGTGCTGGGATTACAGGTGCAAACCACCACACCAGGCCTATATCTTTATTATTACCAGAGTAATTTTCATGTAATTACCTGCACTGGATTCCTAGAAGTGGTATTACTACGATATTGAGATTTTTATTCCTACGTGTTTAACATCCCTAACAATGTTAAAACTGTCAAACTATATTTATGCCAATCATGCATTCAACATTGAGTTCCCACTGAGTCCTAGGTTTGGGCTAGATGCTAGGGGCACAAGTCAGAACATTGCTGCGAGAGGAAGAAGTGAAAAAGCAGTTACAATTTTTTAACGATTATAACTATGGAAAACTTAAAACACATAATCTTCATTTTGGGCTCTGCCACTTTACAATACTCTGAATAAAGAGACTAACTGGGCCGGGGGCAGTGGCTCACGCCTGTAATCCCAATACTTTGGGAGGCTGAGGCGGGCAGATCACTTGAGGTCAGGAGTTCCAGACCAGCCTGGCCAACATGTCGAAACCCCATCTCTACCAAAAAATACAAAAATTAGCCGGGTGTGGTGGCGCATACCTGTAGCCCCAGCTACTCCAGAGACTGAGGTGTGAGAATCACTTGACTCCAGGAAGGGGAGGCTGCTGTGAGCCGGGATTGCGCCACTAC